ACACCGACAGCGTCTACACTCTGTGAGCACCCCGTTGTTGAGTCTTGGGGAGCCGGGGAGGGGAGGGGAGCCGGGGAGGGGTCGGAGTGGTGCTGCTGGGGATTGACAGACACTGACACAGACACAGACACAGGCGCGGGCGGTGGGGCTGCTGGGGGGCCGGCCGACGATAGGCAGGGCTCGACCACCGATGGCAGGCCGTTCTCCTGGGGCAAAGAAGGCTGGTGCTGACGCTGCTGATGCGGCTCGACGATCGACTGGTCGGGCGCCTCAGCAGGCTGCTGCTCTTCCTGCTGGTCGGCAGCAGGAACAGATGGGTCAACTGTACTTGACTCTACAGCCAAATCTGACACGCAGCACACACACATACACACACATACTAGGGCAGCCAGTGGTGCGTTGGCTGGTGCTCTCTGCGGGTCAAGTGTGTGTGTGTGTGTTGTGTGCCATGTTGTGTACCTCTCGTTTCGGTCGTTCCGTTCGTCAGATTCGAAGGCTCAGTGGCCATTCCTGCAACACACCACACCACACCACACAACATGCGCACACACACACACAGGCAGAGGATTGACGCCCACTCTCTCTGATTCGCCCCCATTCGCTCTGCTCACTCGGCTCATTGTCCTCTGTCTGGTTCGTCTGCGGCTCGGCTGATGCTTGTGGATCAACACGGGCTTTCTTCGATTCGCGGTCCGCAAACGCGAGGCTCTGCACACAACACAACAACGCATAGACCACACACATGGGAGCCATGACAAGAAGGCCACACAGATGCACTGCACCCACACCAGAGAGACGGAAAACTGCCCGCCGAACGAATGCCATCTGTCCGCCTGCTGGTCTCGCCAGCCTGACTATGTAACCCAGCTGTCACGTCACGTCAGCACATCTAGGCAACCGTCATCCTCGCTCCTGCCTCCCTCCCTCCCACCCCACCAGCCATGAATCCCACCCGGCCTGGCTGTCTGTCGCTGCCTGCATCTGTCTGTGCGGCAGGCGCCGCGCTCCCTGTGTGTCCACGTGTGCGTGGTGCGTGACTGTCTGGTGCGGTGTGGCTCACATGTTTCATTGGTGCCTCCGGCTGGCGCCACAAGGCATCGCAGCTTTCGCCGCTGTCCTCCTCTCCCTCCCGTCCTCAAGGGTGGCACCAAAAACACAAAGGGTCCGAGCAGAAGTGCGAGCTTTTTGGGAAGTCAGTTTTCCTCCCCCCACAATAACCATCCATCCATCCATCCAACCGTCCTCCCTCTCTCTGTAGGGCTCATGCGACTGTTCATCCATCGTCTCGCTGCTCTCAGCGGCGCTCAGCCTGCTGCATCCTCTGCTCTGTCTTCCCTCAACTACGGGCAGCTGTCCAGCCTCTGCGAGCGCTCAGCGCTGCACAAACGCAAGACGGCATGGCGCGACATCGTCCAAGAAATTGCCAGGCGGTGCCACGAGGGGCATGCACCCGACGCCCAGACGGCTGTGGGGTTCGCCGCGTCCTTCTGGAAGGCAGCCAAGGGCAGCAGGATCTCTCCTCTGCCGCGGCTGCTCGCCGGCTCCCATTTATTGGCCATTCTCGCCGCATCTGTGGGCCCGGCCACTGACCTCTCTGCACGTGACTTCGTCCGCTTTGTGGAGGCCTTTCACGGCCTCGTGGTGGTCTGTGGGGCAGACCGTGCTCCACACACTAGCAGCGACTACCAGGTGTTTGCACAGGTGTGCCGGTATCACGCCGAGCGGGCGGCTCTTGATCTGAGTCTGTCTGAGCTGTGCTACCTGCTGCGGCTGATGGTGGAGATCGACAGACAAGTGGGTGTAGAGGGAGTGGGGTGCATGGTGAGCGAGGGTCTGTTGGAGGAGGCCAGGCGCAAGTTCTGGAGGGGTCCCTCGGCCATCGAGACCGACTCGTTGCTGGAGGTCATGAAGGCCTTCAGCGCCTGCCAAGTCGGCACAGACAAAACACAGGTAGGTCAGACAGAGAGCCACCCACACCACACACCCATTATATGCCTGTGTCCATCCGTCCATCTGGCCATGCGTGTGACACACTTGAAGGTGTGGGATCTGTGTGCCGAGGAGGTCTCCCGTCGGTTCCCCGACCTCACCAACGAGCAGCTGGTCATGGCGCTGGAGTTCCTGGCCTCGGTGCGCTACCCCTTGAAGGAGCCCTTCATCGAGGAACTCTCCCTCTACCTAGCCGAGGACTACTGCGACACAGTCGAAATACCACCCAAGCCCGGAGAAGAAGAACAACAGCAAAAGGGAGAGACCGTTGCCACTGCAGATGAGCTGGAGGTGAGCCGACGGGGACACATCGCGTCGCCACATCACGCGATGGCCATTCATTGCGTCCCTCTCTCTGTTTCTCTCTCTCTACAGGTCGCCAGTGAGGCCCTGACTCCCCTAGTTCCTGATGACACTTCCAGCCGGAAACGGCCCTTCCCTCGAGAAGAGCTCCCCTCCCTGCTGTGGACGTACGACGCCCCTCTACTGGGCCGTCTGGTGACCTGCCTGGCCACCCTTCCCACACCAGTGGGCACACCCGAGCTCATCGCGGCCCTGGCTGACGTGATTGAGGCCGGCGACCACCGGCTGCTGAGGAGGTGGACCACCATGCAGGTCTGTCAGGCCATCGATTTGATGGCCTGCAGGAGTGAGGGCGGCGACTGGGGCGGGGACGTGTCGTTCGGGGCGCTGCGGGTGCTGACCAGGTACCTCGCGAGCAAGGCGGTGGAGAGTGCGGATCAGCTGGGCACTCTCGGGGAAGCTCTGGCGCATGTGTCGCGAGGTGGGTGAGGCAGCCAGACGGGCGAAACGGCCCTCCAGGCATTAGATTGGAACCGCGTGTTGTGGGTGTGTGTGCAGGGGTCGACTCTCGGCTGCTGGCTCACTCATCGATCTCCCGCGCTTCCCCCTCTCAGCTGTGGCAGATCCCTCCTCTGCAGCTGCCCTCGGTTCTGCTCGCCCTCACGCTGCACGCGCCATTGCCCTCGGTCGACCATGCCCAACACGCCGGCATCCAGTGGCCGTGGAGGGACACGTTTGTGCGGTGCATGGAGGTGGCCCTGCAGTACCTCCACACGGCATTCACCAAGAGCGGCGGCTTCTCGGAACAAATCGCCTTGCCCGAGCCGCTCATGACGCCCACGCTCGTGGCCGGATTCACATGGAAGATCGATGCTGACCTGCTCCAAGAGGAAGGAGAAAATGGCGGCGGTGGCGGTGAGGGCGACGGCGGTCAGCTTGCTATCGGCGACGGCAGCCAGATGGTCTCTTCCCTGAGCACCGCGATCGAGCGGCAGATGATGAACTTCAGCCGGGACGACTTCCGCCACCCGCAGCAACGAGAGCCACCCCTAACTGCTGCCCACAGCTCTTGCGGCGGAGAGACCGTCACGCTGCTGAGAGGGCTGGACGGCACGATGACCGACGCCATCACAGACACAGACGACCTACCGCAGTCGCCCCCGTCTTTTGCGCAGGTCAAGGCCATGCACCTGGGCGACTTCAAGTCCAACGCGCCGCACCAGAGGAGCGGCCCAGACGCGTGGACCACCGACTCGCCCATCCATGGGGTGCCGGTGCAGGGCGGGACGGCTCTCGTGAGGTCCGACGCCTGTCGCAGCGACTGGGCTGAGGACAAGATGGTGCTGCGCCGCTCCACAGCCATCGGCTTTGGTCGACGGATCCTGGTGGCTTTGCAAGCGCTGCGGCATCTGGTTCCCCTGGTGAGGGCGGAGGGAGATGGGTCGGCTGACCGGTTGCCGACGGCTGATGGGAGCAATGTGGTGGCGCTGCTGCCCCTCCGGTGTCTGGTGGAGATGCGGGACGTCATCCTGCTGTCGACAAAAGGCTTCCCGTGGCTGGAGGACCCCAACTCTGACCTGAGAGGGCAAGTGCTGTTGGATGCCGTCAGCAGGGACCCGCAGCTGGCCGACCGGCTGAGACGGCTGCTGCGAGTGTACAGCAACAGATACGACCACGACAACGTGGTCGAAGGCATCGACGACACGCTCGTCCACCACCTGCTGACCACTGCATCTCCCGCCGACTCGATCCCCCTGCTCGGCGATGACACAGACGGACATGACGGCACTGGGGATGCGTCAGCGACGGACGGCAAGAGGGAGAAGGGCGGTCGGATTGGCGAGAAGGAGAAGATGCGTCGGCGCACCAAGCCTCCACCCCGGTCTGTGGCTTATCGCGACCAGACGGTGCACCGCCGGTTCCCGTCCAACATGCACCGGCAGGTGGCCAGCGCCCTCGAACACTCGGTCAACTGGGCCTCGAGTGCCAAGTACGCACAGCTGATGAGAGACCAGCATGGCCAGGGGAATGAGGATGGCAGGGCGGTGCTGCAGCGGATGCATCTGAAGTGGGAGGTCGATGTTGACCCTGGGCCTTTCTCGGTCGACCTGCTCATGATCGCCAAGGAGGAGGAGCAGCAGCAGAGCTAGCTAGCTAGCTGCCTCAGTGAGGGCCTCTCTGCATGGTGGGGTGGATGTGCCCTGTTTCTCGTTGGTTGATTTGTCGGATTTGTGTGTTGTGTTTTGGCTCGTGTGCAGCTTGGCTTCCAGAGAGGAAGGAGCCTGTGTATTGTGTGAGCCGTACCAAGTGATGTGGTGTAATGTGATTGCGAGACACACAAGAGTTGACCGTCAACTCTCCCGCTCATCCGTCAGTCTCCCGCACACATGATCGCGCCTGCCCGCACCACATTATCACGCCCGACAAGGACAGAAAACCCCAAAAAACTCCACCTCAATGTCATTCATTGAGTAGGGAGGGAGGGAGGCACGGCAAGTGAGAAAAAAGCTGGGGAACGCATAGGCAGGCATCGTCCGCAGCTCGCCTCTCCTCACGCAAGACACGCAGGTCGTCGACAAAAAACAGACAGACAGACAGACAGACAGCCAGACAGACAGAAAGGCATGACTAACACCTCCGACCACACCGACTACAAAAAAGGCGGCTCTCTCTCGGCTGCCCCCCCACTCACGACGCATCCTGTCTGTTCGCCTCGATCGGACACACACGCCAGCCAACCAGGCAGTCCGACGTCACAAACCACCACACCAGCACCTCAGTCACCTGACCCTTGCCGTCCGATGACGGTGTCTTACACGCGTCGAATGGGTGTCGATCCCATTCTCTCCGTATAAGACACCGGCAGGAGACGGCGAGGGCCAGCTTACTGACAAGGTGTGCAAAGAAGCGAACACTGGCGGGGCACACAACACCACACACAATGACTGCACAAAGGGATCGAGGAGTCCGACACAGACAGATGGACAGACAGACGGACATCACCAACACCTCCAAAAAACCACTGAAAAAGATGGCGTTGGTCGGATGGATGGGCCATCTCGTGCTCTTCTTGTCTTGCACACACACATGGGAAGACAGCATGGGAAAAAACACAGCACCTTGGCAAACATTCATAAAGAAGCAGCGGAGAGAGAGGCAGAGACATGCAGTCCTTCTCTCTCCCCCGCTCTCTGTCTCTCTCTCTTTGGTGGCTCGCGCCAACCCTCAGACACACACACGTGCCACTGACGCATAAGTGGATGGATAAATACGCACAGCAAATCGCCGTCAGGACTTCCTGTCTGTCAGGTCCGTGTGACGGCCTCCCTCCCTGTGGTCACTCACGGCTGATTGAACGCACCATGGAGGACGAGGACAAATGCGCAGCAGAGAGTGTGTGTTGCCCTCTGTGCTGCATGCCACCCCGCCCCACAACGCACATCACAACCAACCAACCGGCCGGACAGATACACAAAACGGTAGGCCAATGCACTTATTCACTTATTCACTCACTCACTCATGGTAACATAAGCCTTCCCACCTCCCTCTGTGTGGGTGCGTGTGCTGTGTGACACTCCTCTGTTGGTCAGCGCCCTCATCGCTTCACCGCACTCACATCTGATCTGTGAAGACGGTGACACGATGGCTCAGCTGTCCAACAGAGAGCTGCCACACGTCCCGTCCACACACACTATGCGGAGCAAATCGCCCACCAGTCATCACCAGTCAGTCGTCATGCATGGAGATCGGAGGAAGAACACAGTAACTGTTTTTTTCTCTGTGTGTCTGTGGCCCTCCCCTGTGCGCAGCTGCCCGCCTACGTGCTCTGCATCAACAGAGGTGATGTGCACACGATGTCCGTTGACGGACAATCACTTACAAGGAACGACCACACCCACACACTTCAGCACAAAACGGCCACGATGGAAAAAACACGCCTCTCTCATTAGGCATGCGCCGCTCTCCATCTGGATGGGGGGCGTGTCATGTGTGTGATGATGGGCGTGTAGCATGCTCTACTTATTCCTTGAAGGAGAGGTCGCAAATGACGGTCTTCTTCTCCAGGTAGCAGTCAAGAGCATCCTCACCCACCTCACTGCACACAACACACATAGAACGGCTCACGTTGGTATGGATGCGCGGATTTGTGTCTGCCACAGATACCGTCCCTGGCCGCTCTGTTTGTATCCGCCGAACGGCGCCTCGGGCGTGAACACGTCGTAGCAGTTGACTGTGTTGCCACAGAGCACACACGCAGAGGATGCGTGTGTGTATGTCCAGTTGTTTGTGTGGTGTGAATACTGTAGATGGTGCCAGCGCGAATCTTATGGGCCAATGTGATGGCCTTGCCGATGTCGCGAGTGCAGATGCCTTCACAAACAGACACAGAGAGAGACAGAGAGAGATGCACTTCCACATGGCTCCCCGTTTATGTGTGTGTGTGTGTGTGTGTGTACCGGCGCCGAGTCCGTACGAGGTGGTGTTGGCTCGCGTGATGGCCTCGTCGAGCGTCTAAAGACACACACAGACACATGGACAGGCACACAGACCATAGTCGGGTCGATGTGTCGTTCATCCGTCGCTCACTTTGAACTTGAGGATGCACATGACGGGGCCGAAAATCTCCTGAACAGACAGCGAGAGGGAATCCTGTGCCCGTGTGTGTTCTCAGGACGCCACGCGGACCTCTTTGGCGATGCGCATGTCGTCCTTGACGTCCTGCACACACAGACAGCGAGAGAGAGAGAGAGAGAGACATGCAATGGAGTTTGGACGACTTCCCTCTCTCTCTCTCTCTCTGTGTGTGTGTGTGTGTGTGTGTGTTGGTGGCAGCTGACGGACTGTGAAAATGGTCGGCTCGACCCAGTAGCCCTCTGAACCGTACTGATTGCCGCCTGCACACACACAGGGAGACAGGGAAAGAGCCACAGGGACTCCCACATTTGCTTGTCTGTCATACCGCAGAGCAGCGTGGCGCCCTCCTTTTTGCCGGTGTGGATGTAGTTGATGCTGAACAGCACAACAGAGACACAGACAGATTGACACCTCCATGTATGTGTTTCTGTCTCTGTCAGAGTGTCGGTCTGTCTGTCTGTCTGGTTGGGAGCGTACATGCGGTCGAACTGCTTGACGTCCACCTGAGGGCCCTGCGTGCTGACGAAGCACACACACACAGACGTGACTCCATCGATCCGCTTTGCCGTCCATCAGCCGTCCATCCATCCAGCCGTACCACTCGGGATCTTTGGGGTCGAGCAGCTTGGCCTCCTTGGAACGCTTCAACGCCTAACACACACATGCACACACACAGGTGATCTGATGTTCACCATGATGTGTGTGTGTGTGTGTGTGTGATCTTCTGACCCTCTCGACAAACTCGTCGTAGATGCACTCCTCCACGAAAATGCGGCTCGACGCAATGCAAACTTGACCCTTTATTGAGATGTCATTCACGCGGATCAGTGGAGGGATAGCACGGGGTACACGTTCACGCGTACCGAATTGAAGAAGAGACCCAGGTGGGCAACCTCAACCGCCTGATAGGTGTCAGGACACCACAGGACAGGACGGGAAGAATCCCATATGTTTGGACGGTGTGTCGTGTAGCATGCGTACGCGGTACCTGGTCGAGGTCGGCGTCCTTGCACACGATCAGGGGACTCTTGCCGCCCAACTCTACACACACACACAATCGAGACCATCGGATGTTTCACCGTCTGCCACCCGTCTCTCTCTATATGTGCGTGTGTGCACGTGGAGTACCCACCTGTGTTGACTTTTTTCATTCCGCTCTGAGCCGCCGCCACGAGGATCTTCTCGGCCGTCACACCGCTGCCCGTAAAGGCAACCTGCACGGACACAGACAGACAGAGAGAAAGCGTCCATCCCACAGACAGAGACATCCTGCCCCACTTGTGTGCCACCGACTGACCTTGTCGATCATTTCGTGTCGCACAATCATGTCGCCTGTGGTGGGCCCGTAGCCGGACAATATGTTGATGACGCCGGGCGGGAACCTGACACCAAACAATGCCATCGAATGGTATGTGGGTTTGTAATACTCACCCAGCCTCCTTGATGAGGTGTCCCATGAGCAGCCCGGTGAGGGGCGTTTTCTCGCTGGTCTTGATGACCACAGTGCAGCCGGCAGCCACTGCCATGATGGCACACACACACATACATCCGCACATGAGCATCAACAGGGATCCGTGGCCTCTATCAGTGTGTGTGTATACTGGCGGGTCCGATCTTTAAGGCAAACATGCACATTGGGAAGTTCTGAGGCACACAGAGACAGCGGCATCCATCCCATCGAGTGGTGCCTTTCAGTCGATGACCCCCGCCCCCACATACCCATGGGATGATCTGACCGCACACGCCGACCGGCTCACGTCTGCACACATGACAATCACACCAACACTTCCACGCAGACGGGCGAATGAAAGTGTGCACACCCTGTGGCTGACCTCTGGTAGCACAGCCAGTTGGCGGGCGTCTCGTTTAGGGAACTGATGGGAATGTGCTTGCCCTAATCAATCACACAACCACACACACACAGACAGATGGTGACCTTGTCAGATCCACGCCGTTCACAGGCCACGCAGTCACTTGTGTTTTGCCCTCGGCCCATCCGGCGTAGTAGTGGTAAATTTTGATGCACAGGCGAAGGTCCACATTCCTATCAATCACACACAGACAGACAGACAGAGAGCCACACACACACAAGTGTGTCTGTCGGCTTTTGTTTGTGTTGGGTGGGTCGCTCACTTGGCGATGTGTTTGGGTTTGCCGTTGTCCAGCGACTCGACCTCGGCCAACTGAACCAGACAGACCGACACACACGTGTGTGTGTGTGTCCATCCATCCATGTGTGTGTGTGTGTGTGCTGACCTGGTCGATGTGCTTTTCCATGAGGTCAGAGAGTTTGTGCAGACATTGGGCGCGAACGGGGCCAGACGACTCGCTCCACGACGGAAACGCTGCAGTGCATTCATCGCACACACACATCCACACACATCCCACGTGTATGTGTGTCTGGTGCCTGCCCACCTTTGGCAGCCGCCTTGACGGCACGATCCACATCCAGCTTCCTGATCACACACACACACGGGAGGCAGATCCACACACACTAATACGTGTGTGCCTCACACTAATATGTGTGTGCCTTGCCTTGTCTGATAGAAACAAACTCACCCGGCCTCCTGGATCTTGGCGATGACTTTGCCGTTGGTCGGGTCGACCGTATCGAAGTGCGTCCCGTCATGCTCGTCCACAAACTCACTACACACCCAGACACCCAGACAGACAGGCCTCTCCCGCCGACACGCATCATCATTATGTGTGTGTCTGTTGGCTGACTTGTCGATGAAGAGTCTGGTCTCCATGGGGAGGGCGCCGACGGGGTAGCCGCCCTCGGAGCCGTTCAACTGCCACACACACAGACCCTCACACAGATGAGTATACGTCTCTCTCACACCCGCAGAGAGAGCAAAAGACCGATTCGTGCTGCGCCACATGGGCACATGCGCAGCCTCCCTCTCTCCCTCACGCCCACATGCATCTCGTTTGTGTGGGCTTACGTCTTTGCCCATCTCGGCGGCGGCGTGGCGCTGTTGTTTGACGCGGATCTCTCTCTCCTGGGCGGTGCCTTCTCTGGTCTCGCAGCAGCGCAGGAACATACACCGAATTACAAGAGCTTTCGGTATTTTCAAGCTCGCAGCGCGGAGTCGATCGGTGGGAGGAGGGCGGCAGTGGGCTCTTCGTGGTGATGATGCACCGTGGTAAGCAAAGTCATTCATCTGATGGCGCAGATCTATCTCATTTTGTGTGTCATGATTCATCTGTTCTCTCAGGTGGTCATGGTCATGAGATAGATGGACTCATTGACCTGTGAGGCGTCCTGTGAGTGAGAAGGGTCCATTGCATCGACCTGAAGAGCACCGCCCTTTCTGCCAATGGTGTTGGGTGGAGCGAGTGTTGACTGGAGGGCGGCATGCACACATCAAAACCTGCCGGCCTGCCGTCCGTCCAGTCACCGCACACAAGCACATCCATCCAGCAGCACCAACACGTGAGCTCATTCAGTCAACACCATTAAACGCACCTCACCCTGCCGCCGTCTCTGGCTATGTAGAGGCAGGCAGGCAGAAGGTGAGCCATCTACCACGGCATTCGCCTCAATGACACACAACTGGATGGATGCGACTGGGTGAACACATCAGGAGAGTGACTCACACTGACTGCATGCCGAGTGTCACCCACTGCCCTCGTTCGTCGACGTACCCCAGCTGCTGCCACTCGAACGCCGCCACGTCCTTGGTGAAGCCGTTGTCGATGCTGGCCGGTAGCCCGTCGTATCTGGCGGCCTCGTCCAGGATGGCCCGCTGCACCACCTCACGCAACTCCATCAGCCGGTGCTGCCCGCTATGCTGCCACCTGACGGCAAAGCACTGCAGCTGCGGCACCCGCACCCTGTCGCCGCCCACATTGGTCGTCCCGCCCACCACCTCCTCATTGCCCACCACCTGCAGCGATGCGGCGGCCTCCACGAACCGCGCCATCGCAGCGTTGACGCGGCGGCCGACCTCAGTCACGTTCTGGACGGGGCGGGGGCTCTGCTGCAGCACCGATGGGTTGACAAAGGACGACGCCACGCGCCAGGCGATGGCTGACATGTCCTTGTTGGCGAAGGGCATGTAGTCGTCTTGCCAGGAGGGCTCCGGGTCGACGTGTGGGGGGAAGGGGGGAGGAGGCACCGAGGGGCGGGACGGGTCGAAGGAGGGGAAGGCGGCCTTGAGCTGCTGGGCGGTGGCATTGTGGAGTGCCTCTGTCAGCGCGTCGGCCATCTCGCGCTGGGGTCGCAGGGCGGCGTTGACGGCCGTCATAACGGCCTGTGGCAGCTGATTGAGAAGTGTCGTGTACTCGGGCAGCACCAGCTGGCGACGACGGTGGTCCTCCTCTGTGGCTGTGGGCATGAGGGCGATGTCAGCGCCCGCCTGGAGCAGCACACGGATGGTGGTCTGGAGGTGAGTGATCCGTCTCGTGGCCCGGTCCCTCACGGCCGGCACTGTGTCATTGTCCTGCAGCCGCTGTGTGTTGCCATCGAGCTGTCGGGCAGCGCGGGTGAGGGCTGTGTAGGTGGGGAGGTTCGGCAGCCCTCTGTTGATGTCGGCAGCGGTGAGACGGCGGCAGAGAGAGGCAGCGACACAGTGGGAACCGCTGATGGCCGCGAAGTGCAATGGCGTCCGTCCATTGTCGTCCACGGCGGCAATGTCCACCCCGTTGACCACCAGCAGGTCGATGTAGTTCTCGATGAACTGCTGGGACCAGATGGGAGGCACCATCGCCGCCCAATGCAGCGGATTGCCGCCGTTTGGTGACCGCTCGGTTGCGAGGCTGCTGTCCCGCTGGATGAGCAGCTGGTAGAAGGACAGCAGGATGGCCTCGCTCTCCTCAGTCGGCTGGTCCGTCGGCAATGGGAGCGGCAGGTCCATCACCTCCTGCAGCTGGATGCCTGGAGCAGACAGACAGACGAACGTCCATCATGGTGTGTGTTCCGTGTCGTGAGTGCTGTGAATGGGTGCGCACCTGGCTGGCCCATCAGGAGGTCGAAGGCGGCCCGGTCGCACGAGGCGATGGCCACCAAGATGGGCGTATGGTCCCCCTCACCCGCGTTGATGTCGGCACCGCTTTCGATGACAGCCGCATGACGGCGAGCTGCAGGGAGGGCGTCTCCCACAGCGGCATGGCGACGGGACACTCGTCATCGCCGTCGCCTGCCCAGATGGACGGCACGCCGTTGTCCGTGAGGTTGTCAATGCACAATGCCAGCAGCGGATAAGCTGCATAGCCGCCCGTGGTCCCCTTCACCCGCAGCCGTGGCTCCACATTGAGGTCGGCTCCATTCTGCTGAATCAGCTGGGTCATCTGCTGTTCGTCAGTGATTGTGCGGCGAATGATGGCCTCGGACAGCCGTCTGCTGGCGTTGCTGGTGCCACGACGGAAGCGGACGTCGACGCCGTTCTCCGAGCTCTTCCAGCCGTGGGGTAACGGTGCACCTGTGGGTGGCACAGCATCCACAGGGGAGGGTGCTATATGTGTGTGTTGGTGGTGGGTGATTCGTTCACCGACCTCCGTTCTGTCGGCCCTGCTGCCCATCAGAGGCACCCTCACCAGCACCAGCACCAACACCGAGATCCCCACCAGCAGTGCTGCTCACGCCCCCTCCGACGCGGGGCGGTTGCGGTGGGCGATGCGCATGGCCGCCCAGCGTCGGACTAGCGGATGGAAGGACACCAACACCAGCAGCAGCAGGATGGGGAGCGGGGGGACGCTGCACCACCATACACAACACAACACAGCCATGCCATCATCGTGTGCTGGTGCTGGCTGAGGAGCAGAGGAGGCATGCAATCACCTGTGGCTGCTGGGCATTTGGCACCTTGGCGGCAGGTTGGTGCGTCTGGCCGTCTCCCTTGGCCCTCTTATGCTCCTCACGCTCCAGAGGAGAGCCGACACGCTTCACAACACCTACAGCTACACCTTCACACACATTCACACACACACGACCCAGGCAATGACGACGTGGTGCGTCAGGCTGGCTGTGGTGCATTCATTGACTACCTGTATAGCTAGATGAGGGTTCCTGCACCCCTGCTGCCGATGCTGCTGCCGATGCTGCTTGTGGCCCATCCGCCACGCTGGCCGTGAGATGAATGTCCTGCCATTTGCCGGGACAGCCGATGACACACACACACACACGTACGAGAGAGTGCGTGGAGGTGTCTGTCTGTCTGTCGCGGTGCTCTTGTTTGTTGGGGTACCGGCGATGGCATCTGATAGGGCTCTGTCGTGGAGGCGTTGTTCCTCTGCCTCATGACGACATGGCCCACCGCACCATCGCCCGCACGGCCCTCCTGGCCCTCCTGGACATCCATTGGCCGCCGCTCGTCACCGCCGCCACGCTGCTCGGCATACTCTGCAAAGACGGTGAAGCGGACACAGACACACACACGACCTTTGGCAATGATGCTGCGTGTGTGACGTGCTGCATTTGTCTGAGTTGAGTGTACCTTCATCGCCATCGCCACCGTCGGCCGGGCCAGCGGAGGCCATGTCGGTGTCGGGACGACCAGACATCGCTCTCACTCACTCGGACAGACAGAGAGCTGCACCATAGACCATAAACACAGACAGATAAGGGCCTGCAGGCATCTGATGCATTTGTGTGTGCATCAACCAGTGCTTGCCTATCAAAGGTATGAGGTGACAGCCAGCCGCACACACACACTCAGTCAATCAACCAGTCCGCCCGTCGACAAGGCAGACCTGAAGACCGCCAACACACACAGACAGCAAACAGGTCGTCAGCGCGCTTGTGAGTGATCCAATCGCCGCATCTTGCCACTCACCGTTGGACAAGAAGCCGCTACGTGCGACGATTCTGTCGTCCCCTTCTCTCCCTCTCTCCGGCTCGCATCGATCGGCTGAAAGGTCGACGAAGGAGTGCAAAGGAGCCCTTCGGTAGGCCCACAGGACTCGTCAGGAGCCAACCATCCGGCCGCAGTGAGCCCCGCTCACTTTGGATGAATTGCTCATGGTGAGAGATCAGGTCGCTTGGATCCCCATGTGTCTGTGTGTCAGCAGGTGAGCCCTCCATCACCGCATTCACGTCGGTGACCCTCGACTGGATGGGTGCCACTGAGTGAACACATCATGAGAGTGACTCACACTGACTGATAGGTATACCTGTCCATCTGCTGGCCTGCCTCCTATCCATCCATCCATCCATCCAGTGACAAGAGGCAGGCATAGTTATTGGCTGCCGGCCGCCTGGCTACGCGGCATCCCTCCCTCCCAACCCCCTCTGCCGTGTTGGTATGTATGTGGGCCTCCCTCGTATCGATACCAACCAATGTCATGCTGGCCTGGCTGTGTCGATGTCAATGTCATGCTGACACGTGTGGTATGCATGGATGTGATGGGGAGGGAGTGAGGGAGGGAGGGGGACAAGGGGGAGCGACGATCGGATCCACTCATGCAGTGCATGCCATCAGAAGACAGACGTGAATGAACATTCATCACACAGTCAGGCCACCCCTCCCTCCCGCCATCTCCCACATCTATGTCTGTTGGCAGGCGGGCAGGAATGTCATGTGATGGGCTGATCGGCCCACTGCCGCACCTCATCGCGCGACCCGGCGAACACCACCTTGGTCTTGCACTGCTCACACAGGTACTTCGGCTCGTCCAGCAGCTCCACCAGTGGTATCTTCTTCTCCTTCTTGCGGCCCTCGTTCAGTCTCTTGATGCCCTCGTTCTCCTCACGCCGCCGCGCATTCTCGGCCCGCACCTGCTGGAGGTCCCGCCGCCACTTGCTGCAGCGGTGGTCATAGCAGTGGCGACACAGCCGCAGGTGTCTGCAGGGCATGTACATGACCGATGGGGGCGCGTCGAGGCAGATGGCACACTCACGCCCATCTCCCTCTGGCTGGGCCGCTGCCAGTGGCTGCTGCTGCTGATGCTGCTGCTGCTGCTGGGGGGGCTGCTGTAGCGGTGGTGGGGCACTCGAGCTGCCGGACGATGACGGCTTGTGCTGCTGAAAGGAGGTGGTGGTGAGCTCGGCAAGCCTGTGTGCATCAATCGCATCATAACACGTGTGTGTGTGTGTGTGTGTGAGCTGCAGAGGGGAGCGAGCATCCCAGCGTACCTTCGTTGGGTCTCTTCGAGCTGCCTGGCGAGTTCGTCCCTCTGCCGCTGCAGCTCAGCCTCTCGTGACGACACTCGCACACTGCACACACACACACACACACGAAGACACGGTAAGGCATCGGAATGGTATCCGTCCCATGGGTGCGTCAATGTCCATGTATGTGTGCCACCCACCTATCATTCACACCACCAGCAGCCGCAGCCGAGGCTCCCTGTCCACCCTCATCATCATCCAATGGCCTGACCACACACCATCGCCGGTGTGTGGGGCGTGGTGTGTGTGTTGGTGTGCCTGCCTACCCTAGTGGGTTCTGGTATGGTGCCGCGAATGCGGCTGCTGCTGGAGCTGGTGGTGCAGCACTGGAACCGTTGTAGCTACTGGAGGACGGAAATGCATCAGCCGCGGACCTGACACAATACAGCACAAACATGGAGGTTCGGAGGAACCTATGTGGCGTGTGTTGGTCGTGTGTGCGCACCTCAGCTCAAACAATGGCGACGGACGGGCGTCATCGTGGCTCAACGAAGCTCCAGACGACCTGAGAAGACACATGCACGATAACCACCCACCGATGTGTGCGTGAGGTGTCCTGATGTCGGCCTGGCTGTTCCCTACTTGGGACACTTGACGAGTGGCGGAGGACCCCGGTGACGCGACGGACGATCCACACTCGACGAGGAGGGAAGCAAGTCGTCACTGATACAAAGAGAGACGACAACACGCACCAACGCCATTCATTGTGCCCTCCAATCCACCCCCTTCTCTGTGTCTGTCTCCTTACGGCTGCTGTGGCGCATGCGCTGGAGGGGGAAATGACCCATCGGCACCGCTCGCCGGTCTGTGTGCAGGTGGCAGGGGCCGAGAGGGTGGGGGCGGGTGAGAGGGACTCGACGACACAAACGGTCGCCGCTTGCCCGACTGGCACAGCTCCACAGCTGACGGCAGACGGGGAGGGGGAGGGGCCGGCCGAGACGACAGGGATGATGCAGCACCAGAGAGGCCCAGCCCGCTGCCTCTGTCCAACTTGCTGCCTGCCGATGGGCCCATCAGCCGCTCCTCGCCCGGCGTCTGGTGGGCCATCGACACACCGCTGGGGCGAGAGAGCAGAGGGCGATCGTGGGGCTGGTGGGATCGAGACTTATCGGCTGAAGGCCGCAGGGTGGCCTGTTGCTTGGCTGTGGGGGGCGGAGAGGGCGAGAAGGGGGGATGAGTCGATCCTTTGGGGTGGGCAGCTGGCTGGGTCTTGGTGGGGGCCGCCTTGTGCTGGTTGATGGCCTGCGCATGGCTTTCGACGGCGCGTTGGGCGAAGGCTGACCCCAACAGGAGGGCGTCGATGTCCTCATCGTTGGAAGCTGGCTGGTCGTCATCCGCTGCCCCAGTGCTATCCGCTTGGTCGTCTTCGCCACCCGGCGGACTGCCGGCGGCGGGTGTTGCGCTGTGCTGCCCCTTGCCCCGCTTGCCCTTACCCTTCTTGCCCGCCTTCGCCTTAGCCGCCTCCTCCTTCTTGTTGGCCGCCTCCTCTCTGATGAGGGCCGCCATCTTGGCGTCGGCTTCCCTCTGCTGCCGCGCCAACTCGGCCGCTGTGGGGGCCTCGTTGGCCTGTCGTGTGGCCTGCCGGCCCTTGCGCTTGTCGCGGTGCTCCTTCAGCTTCTGCAGCCGCTCCTGCGCCTCGATGGTGGCGGGGCGCGGCTCGGGAATGGGCAGCTCGTTGGGCAGCGCCGTGCGCTCCACCAGCACCAGTTTGTGACGACGGCGGTCTCGCTCTGTGGCTGTGGGCATGAGGGCGATGTCAGCGCCCGCCTGGAGCAGCACACGGATGGTGGTCTTGAGGTTGGGGATCCGGATGCTGGCCTGGTCCCTCACGGCCTGCCCCGTGGTGTTGTCCTGCAGCTGTTGGGTGTCGCCATCGAGCCGCACGGCAGCGAGGGTAAGGGATGTCTGGGTGGGTTCATTTGGCAGCCCCCTGTTGATGTCAGCAGCGGTGAGACGGCGGCGGCAGAGAGACGCAGCCACACAGTGGGAACCATGAAAGGCCGCGAGATGCAATGGCGTCCACCCATCAATGTCCACTGCCGCTATGTCCACCCCGTTGGTCACCAGCAGGCCGATGTACTTCTCGATGAACTGCTGGGACCTGACGGGAGGCGTCATGGCCGCACCATGCAGCGGATTGGTGTCATCGGCGTCTCGCTCGGTTGCGAGTGTGCTGTCCCGCTGGATGAGCTGCCGGTAGAAGGACAGGAGGATGGCCTCGTGCGCCTCAGTCGGCTGGTCGGTCGGCAGTGTGAACGGCAGCTGCATCACCAATCGGCCCCGCAGCTGGATGCCTGGAACAGACAGACAGACAAACAGGCGTTCCGACGAACATCATGGTTTGTGTCAGGTGTGGTAAGTGCTGTGAATGGGTGTGTACCTGGCTGACCCATCAGAAGGTCGAAGGCGGCCCGGTTACACGAGGCGATGGCCACTCGGATGGGTCTAGCCACTCCCGCACCCCTGTTGATGTCCGCCCCTCTCTGGATTAGGATTCGCATGACGGCGAGCTGGAGTCCGGGCGTCTCCCACGTGGGCATGGCGACGGGACACTGGCCATCGCCGACGTCTGCCCATATAGACGGCACACCGTTGTCCGTGAGATTGTCGATGCACAGCGACAGAAGCGGATAAGCTGCATAGCCGCCCGTGCTGCCCGCCACCCGCAGCTGTGGCTCCACATTTGGGTCGGTTCCATGCTGCTGAATCAGCTGGGTCATCTGCTGTACGTCAGTGATGGTGCGGCTGATGATGGCCTCGGACAACCGTCTGCTGGCGTCACTGGTGCCAGGGGGGAGGCGGACGACGACCACCTCCTTCTCGGAGCTCTTCCAACCAGATGGTAGCGGCGGACCTGTGGGCGGCACAGCGGACGGACAGAGAGAGAGAAGATTGTCAACGATTTGTGTGCCGGCGATTGTGTACCTCCGCTTTGTGGCCCCTGGCTCTGCCCGCTGCCCTGCTGCCAACTGGCACCACCAGCACTAACATTGAGACCCCGACACACACCGCTAACGCCTCCACCATCACCTACACACACGCACACACAGCCGAGCAGGTGAACGTGCTGCTGTTGTGTTTGGTGCGGTCACTGACCACGGTCAGCGCCATTGCGATTGTCTCCCTCTATGTGCCCGGCGCCGCCATGGTCCTCCTCCTCCCCTTCACCGTCTGCAATCACACGATGACATACACACGGCGTCTTGGCTCTGGTTGCACCTGCATCGTCATCCTTACCCTTCTTGCCTGCCTCCTTATTCTTCTTTGCCGCCTCCTCCTCTCTGATGAGGGCCGCCATCTTGGCGTCGGCTTCCCTCTGCTGCCGCGCCAAGTCGGCCGCTGTAGGGGCCTCGTTGGCCTCTCGTGTGGCCTGCCGGCCCTTGCGCTTGTCGCGGTGCTCCTTCATCTTTTGCAGCCGCTCTTGCGCTGCTTCTGTAGCGGGGCGCGGCTCGGGAATGGGCAGCTCGTTGGGCGCTGCCGTGCGCTCCACCAACACCAGCTGCTGACGACGGCGGTCCTCCTCTGTGGCTGTGGGGATGATGGCGATGTCAGCGCCCGCCTGGAGCAGCACACGGATGGTGGTCTTGAGGTTGGGGATCCGGATGCTGGCCTGGTCCCTCACGGCCTGCCCCGTGGTGTCGTCCTGCAGCTGTTGGGTGACCTCATCGAGCTGTATGGTGGCAACGGCAAGGGGTGTCTGGGTGTCAGCAGCGGTGAGACGGCGGCAGAGAGACGTAGCGACACAGTGGGAACCATGAAAGGCCGCGTAGTGCAATGGCGTCACTCCATCGTTGTCCACGGCCCTGATGTCCGCCCCGTTGGCCACCAGCAGGTCGATGTAGTTCTCGATGAACTGCTGGGACCAAACCGGAGGCGTCATGGCCGCCCAATGCATTGGATTGCCGCCATTTGGTGACCGCTCGGCTGCGAGTGTGCTGTCCCGCTGGATGAGCAGCTGGTAGAAGGACAGCAGGGTGGCCTCACTCTCCTCAGTCGGCTGATCCGTCGGCAGTGTGACGGGCAGCTCCATCACGCGGAGCCCCCGCAGCTGGATGCCTGGAACAGACAGACAGCCAGACAGACAGACAGTCAGACAGACGAACGTCCATCATGGTGTGTGTTACGTGTCGCGAGTGGTGTGAATGGGGGTGCACCTGGCTGGCCCATCAGGAGCCCAAATGCCTCCCGGTTACACGAGGCGATGGCCACTCGGATGGGTCTACGCCTCGTGTTGATGTCGGCGCCGCTTTCAATGAGGGCCTTCATGACGGCGAGTTTGAGGCCGGGCGTCTCCCACATGGGCAAAACGACGGGAGTGCCATCATCGACGTCGCCGTTGCCTGCCCAGATGGACGGCACGCTGTTCGTGGTCATGCCGTCAATCGCTAGCGACAACAGCGGATAAGCGGAATAGCGACCCGTGCTGCCCGCCACCCGCAGCCGTGGCTCCACATTGGGGTCGGCTCCATTCTGCTCGATGAGCTGGGTCACCTGCTGTGCGTCGGTGATGGTGCGGCGAATGATGGCCATGGACAACCGTCTGCTGGCGTCACTGGTGCCAGGGGGGAGGCGGACGACGACCACCTCCTTCTCGGAGCTCTTCCAACCAGATGGTAGCGGCGGACCTGTGGGCGGCACAGCGGACAGACAGACAGACAGATAGACGGGCTCATTAACAATTTGTGTGTCGGCGATTGTTTACCTCCGCTTTGTGGCCCCTGGCTCTGCCCGCTGCCCTGCTGCCAACTGGCGCCACCAGCACTAACATTGAGACCCCGACACACACCGCTAACGCCTCCACCATCACCTACACACACGCACACACACAGCAAACGCACACACAGCCGAGCAGGTGAACGTGCTGCTGTTGTGTTTGGTGCGGTCACTGACCACGGTCAGCGCCATTGCGATTGTCTCCCTCTATGTGCCCGGCGCCGCCATGGTCCTCCTCCTCCCCTTCACCGTCTGCAATCACACGATGACATACACACGGCGTCTTGGCTCTGGTTGCACCTGCACCGTCATCGTCACCGTCCGCCATAGCAGGGGAGGCCATGTCGGTGTCGGGACGATCAGACGACATAGCTCACTGAGATGCACACAGGCAGCTGCACGAACCTCACGGACACAGAGATGGCTCTTTCTGGTGTGTGCGTTCATGTGCGCATCAATCAGTGCTGTGCTTGCCTATCAAAGGCATAAGTCGACGGCCAGCTGTCCACACAGACGCTCAGTCAAGCAATCAGTCCGCCTGTTGACAAGGCAGATCAGACCTGAAGCCATACCATCCACACACACAGACACACAGACAGCTCATCCGGGTGCGATTGTGAGTGAGCCAATCGCCGCATCTTCCCACTTATCGTCGGACGAGAAGCCGCTACGTGGCGCGGTGATCCGTCGGGCAGCAGGGCTCAATGCTGGCGAGGCTCAATCAATGGCAGAATCCGCACACGGGAAGCGGCTGAGCGATGGACAATCGGACTCGTCTGCTCAGAGGTCCTCATTGTGCCGCCATTGCTGCACCAAGACGAAACAAAATCGTCCCTTCTCGCCCTATTTCAGGCTCGCATCGATCGCCTGAAAGGTCGACGAAGGAGTGCAAAGGAACCCTTAGGTGGGTCCACAGGGTTCGTCGGGTGCCAATCATTCAGCCGCAGTAAGCCCCAATCACTTTGGATGAGTTGCTTTCGGTAAAGGTCTGTCTGTGTGATGACTGAGAGGCGCATGTCATTACTTGACACTCATGTTCGTTCGTATGAAGCTCATCTATCTCAATGCAGCCCAGCCAATGAATTGTGTCAGCCCACTCATGTCATGCATCTACCTGTCAGTCAGAGTCATTGACACCCTCCCGCCGCTCTCTCCCCATCGCCGATGCAGTCAGTCTCTGTCGCCGTCTGACTGACTGACGGGCATCTTTGGCTGTCAGTCAGTCAGTCAGTCAGTCATGTGAATGGCTGGCCGATCCACCGCAGCACTTCGTCCATCGACCCGGCAAAGACGACCTCCGTCTGGCACTGCTCGCACAGGTAGCCCTCCGGCCGCAGCTCCAGCGGCTCCTGGTCCCGCTTGATCCGTGCCTTGTTCTCCTCCGCCCGACGGGCATTGTCGGCCTTGAGGCGGGGGAGGCTGTGGTGCCAGGCGTCCCTGCGGTGGGCGTAGCACTTGTGGCAGATGTGCATGTGTCTGCAGGGCACGTACATGATGGAGGCAGGGCCGTGCTCGCCGAAACAGATGATGCACCCGCCGGCCTGTGTGCTGTCAGCACCAGTGCCGGCAGGTGGCTGCGGCTGCTGTGGCCGTGTTTGCTGAGGCGACAGAGGGGCACTGGAGCTGCCGGACGATGACGGCTGGTGCTGCTGGGCGGTTGTGGTGAGCTCGGCAAGCCTGTGTGCATCAATCGCATCATATCGCGTGTGTGTGTGTCTGTGCTGCAGAGGTGAGCGAGCATCCCAGCGTACCTTCGTTGAGTCTCTTCGAGCTGCCGGGCGAGTTCGTCTCGCTGCCGCACAATGTCGTCTACAGCAGGGGCAGCAGCTGCAGCACCATGGTGTGCCGACGCCGAGGCGCCCTGTCGGTCCTCATGGTAGTGCGATGGCCTGACCACACACACGCAAGCCAATGACGTGACGAGCCGCCTCTGTGGTGCGTGTGTGTGTGTTGGTGTGCCTGCCTACCCTAGTGGTGCTTCGTATGGTGCTGATGGTGTTCCGAATGCGGCTGCTGCTGCGGCTGCCGGGGCTGCTGGTGCAGCACTGGAATCGTCGTAGCTACTGGACGACGGACAGGCGTCAGCCGCGGACCTGACACAAGACAGAACAAACATGGCAATTCAATGGCGGCTGTGCGGCGCGTGTATGCGCACCTCAGCTCAAACAATGGCGACCGACAGGCATCATCGTGGCTCAACGAAGCCCCAGACGACCTGAGAAGACACATGCACGATAACCCCCCACCGGTGTGTGCCTGGAGCGTCCTTGTGTCGGCCTGTCTGTTCCTTACTTGGGGCACTTGACGAGTGGCGGAGGGCCCCGGTGACACGACGGACGATGCCCAGTCGACGAGGAGGGAAGCAAGTCGTCACTGACACAAAGAGAGACGACAACACACACCAACACCATTCACTGTGCCCACCCATCTATCCCCTTCTCTGTGTCTGTCCGCTTACGGCTGCTGTGGCGCATGCGCTGGAGGCGGGACTGACTCATCGGCACCGCTCGCCGGTCTGTGTGCAGGTGGCAGGGGCCGACGCGGTGGGGGCGGGTGAGTGGGACTCGACGACACAAACGGTCGGCGCTTGCCCGAGTCGCGCAGCTCCACAGCTGACGGCAGATGGGGAGGGGGAGCGGCCGCCCGAGACAACAGGGATGGTGCAGCAGCCGAGAGGCCAAACCCGCTGCCTCTTCCCAACTTGCTGTCTGCCGATGGGCCCGCCAGCCGCTCCTCGCCTGGCGTCTGGTCGGCCGTCGACACACCGCTGGGGCGAGAGAGCAGAGGGCGATTGTGGGGCCGGTGGGATCGGGACTTATCGGCTGAGGGTGGCAGGGTGGCCTGTTGCTTGGCTGTGGGGTGCTGGAAGGGCAAGAAGGGGGGATGAGTCGATCCTTTGGGCTGCTTGGGGTTGTTGGCCTGCTTACGGCTTTCGATGGCGCGTTGGGCGAAGGCCGACGCAAGCAGCAGGGCGTCGCTATCCTCATCGTTGGGATCTGGCTGGTCGTCGTCATCGGCTGCCCCAGTGCTGTCCGCCCGGTCGTCTTCGCCGCCCTGGCGGCTGCCGGCGGCGGTGGGGGTGGAAGTTGCGCTGTGCTGCCCCTTGCCCCGCTTGCCCTTACCCTTCTTGCCCGCCTTCGCCTTAGCCGCCGCCTCCTTCTTGTTGGCCTCCTCCTCTCTGATGAGGGCGTCGGCCTCCCTCTGCTGCCGCGCCAATTCGGCCGCTGTGGGGGCCTCGTTGGCCTCTCGTGTGGCCTGCCGGCCCTTGCGCTTGTCGCGGTGCTCCTTCATCTTCTGCAGCCGCCCCTGCGCCTCGATGGTGGCCGGGTGCGGCTCGGGAATGGGCAGCTCATTGGCCGCCGCCATGCGCTCAGCCAGCACCAGCTGGTGACGGCGGCGGTCCTCCTCTCTGGCTGTGGGCATGAGGGCGATGTCGGCGCCCGCCTGGAGCAGCACACGGACGGTCTTCTGGAGCTTGGGGATTCGAACGGTGGCCTGGTCCCTCACGGGCTGCTCCGTGGTGTCATCTCGCAGCTGTTGGGTGACCTCATCGAGCTGTCGGGCAGCGTAGGTGAGGAGCGTGAGGGTGGGGTCATTTGGCACCCCTCTGTTGATGTCGGCAGCGGTGAGACGGCGGCAGAGAGAGGCAGCCACACAGTGACAGCCGCAGCCTGCCGCGTAGTGCAATGGCGTCCGCTCACCGATGTCCACTGCCTTTATGTCCACCCCGTTGGTCACCAGCAGGTCGATGTAGTTCTCGATGAACTGCTGGGACCAGACGGAATGGCTCAAGGCCGCCACATGCACCAGGTTGGTGCCATTCGGGCCCCGCTCGGTTGCGAGTGTGCTGTCCCGCTGGATGAGCTGCCGGTAGAAGGACAGCAGGGTGCGCTCGTGAGCCTCAGTCGGCTGGTCCGTCGGCAACGTGAAAGGCAGATGGATCACCCAAAGCCCCCGCAGCTGGATGCCTGGAACAGACAGACAGACAGACAGGCAGACAGACAGACGTCCCGACGAACATCATGGTGTGTGTTCCGTGTCGTGAGTGCTGTGAATTGGTGCGCACCTGGCCGGCCCATCAGGAGATCGAAGGCGGTCTGGTTGCACGAGGCGATGGCCACTCGGATGGGTCTAGCCACTCCCGCACCCCTGTTGATGTCCGCCCCTCTCTCGATCAGGCTTCGCATGACGGCGAGCTGCAGGGAGGGCGTCTCCCACGTCGGCATGGCGACGGGACACTCGCCCTCGCCGACGGCTCCCCAGATGGACGGCACGCTATTGTGAGTGAGGTTGTCACGTAGGTTGTCAATGCACAGCGACAGCAGCGGATAAGCTACATAGCGACCCGTAGTGCCCGCCAGCCGCAGCAGTGGCTCCACATTGGGGTCGGTTCCATACCGCTGGATGAGCTGCGTCATATGCTGTTCGCCAGCGATGGTGCGGCGAATGATGGCCTCGGACAGCCGTCTGCTGGCGTCACTGGTGCCAGCAGGAAAGGTGACGCCATTCCCACAGCTGATCCAGCCGTGTGGTAACTGCGCACCTGCAGGGGAGGATGCGGGGGTATCGGGGAAGGATGGCTGGAATCCTGGCGGTGGCTGGATAGTAGTGGATGCCTCCTTTTTCCCCACCGTTCTCTCCACGGCCTCACCTCCCATAGTCTCCTCTGCATCGGGCTCTTCTGCTCTGGGCGACAACGGTGGCGCCTGCTCGGCTGGTGTGAAGAGCTGCACGTGGGAGGTGGTGTCGGGCAGGCCCGGCGAAGGAGACCGCAGCTGACTCAGCGACTGAGCAGACAGAAGAAGGACAAACGGTGAGTCGGTGATGCGTCTACATGACATCCTGCTCACGTCGGCTAACCTGATGGTGTAGGTTTAGTTCTGCCTGTTTCCTGGTAGTCCTGTCAGCTGGTGACATCCGTTCGAAGCAGTAGATGATGAGGCTGCGCCCTTGCTCCACCTTGACTGAGTCGTGCTCACGTGGCATCCCGCACGCCCAATCCACACATGAATGAGACATCGGCAGCTGACCAGCAGGAAAAACAGCATAGCAGATCCGTGTGCCTGTGGGGCTTGTCATGCTCTGTTCGCACCGCCTCACTCACCTGTCTGACAGCCTTTGCGGGCAGAAATGGTCTCTGTGCGGTCCACTCCCTGGTTTCGATGAGGACGAACCTCTGCACCAGCCCGCCATCCGCCTCTCTCACCGGCACACCCACCACCACAAAGGCGCTGCCCGCACCCTGGCCATGCGCCACCCGCACTCGTGCCGGGCCATCCAGCCCTACACCCCCCACGCACATGAGGCGCATCGTCTGCTCTAGAGTGAGGGGGCGGTGTTGGTCTCTGCTGGTGCGGTAAAACTGCACGCTCATGTTGCTGCCACTGCCGACCACCAGGTACTCTGGCGGAGGTGGTGCGGACTGGTGGTGAGCCAGGGATATGTCCGTGAGCATGGGGGGTGTGAAGGTGTTGATGGATGCGATAGTGGGGCTGTCCAGGTCGGAGGAAAGCGCATGGGAAAACAGGTCCTCTGCCTGAGGAGCGCCTTTCTCGGGACACTGGTGGGGAAAAGGAGGCAAAGACAACCAGGCATGGTAGACGTTGGACAGTGTGGGGCCATCTATACCCATCCACACATGTGCCGCCTACCGACACGAGCCAAGCAACGATGTGGTTGGGTTTGATGGCGGCGAAGAGCACTTGCCCGTCACGCGAGAAACACAAGTCGGCAACTTCAGGAACACCTGAAGCCGACGAATCCGCAGACAAACACCATCATTAGTCAATTGCTCTGCCTGTTTTCGTGTACAGTGAGTGACCCACTCGCTGACCTGATGATTTGCTGCATAGGCCGTCGACAGTCTGGCTGCGGCCACCCGGCGCCTGTAAACGCGTAGCCATTGACACACTCATGGATTCACGTATTCACTGCATTGACTGATTCCCACCTCCCCTCTTTCACCATGGTGGGTGTGGTCCTGAACAGGTCCTTGAGCTGTATTTTCTTGCAGTACCGCTTTTTGAGCCCCGATACTGCAGCGGCTGTCAGCACCGCATCGTTGGTGCTGTCGAACTTGCCTGACGTGGCCTCGCGGATCAGGTCGGGGAAGTTCCACAGCACCATCTGGTCCCGATGCAATACGACCAGTGTGCGCGAGCCGCCCTCAGGCGTACGTGGCTCGGGCCACACAACCTACACGTACAAAAGAATGCAGGCGGCAGGTTGCGCGTGACGTGATCGACCCGAGGTGCCTCTTACCCGCATGGCAGGGTCGTCTAGGGCCGGAATGGTGAATGAGTAAGGGTTCTAGGAAGGAAGTAGAAAGGCGAAGCCTTCCAGGTGTTCTTGTCATGGCGGCTCACCGCTTTGCTGTCGTCTGCTGTTCTGTCATTGAATGCCATGACGTGAAGGTTGCCCTGCTCGTCGGCCCCAGCGACCCAATGCAGAGGGGGTAGGCTCTCGGATATCACACCCACATCGGGACCCAAAACCAGCTGGAAATCAGTAAACTGACACACAGACATACAAACAGAAGCAAATCCCAAACGTGTGTGCGCTCCTCTGTTAGGGTGAGCCTGTCATTCAGTCAGTCAGTCGATTCACCTTGGTATCTGCGCGGAGCTTGATCTTTGAGTAGAAGATGCCAACGACAGGGACGACGCGAAACATCCCCGCTTGAAAGTGATACGCTATCATACTTTTCAAGTTCAAACAACGACACACGCGCACCACCCAACATGAGCCTCGCCGCCCCCTATCTGCCAGTGAGTGGGGGGATATATCCTCGGGTCAACACTTACGTGTCCCTAGCGAGTATGATTCGCCCATTGTGTTCAGGGGATGGCTCCACGGGGTCCGTGTACTCACTCAGACACTCCGAGAACAACACCCTGTTGGAATGCTCACCTGACACGACGCGGAACCAATTGACACGCGCACCCACAACATGCAATGGGTGTGGACCTGCGTGGTGCGGAGTGTGCAGTCTGTCACCTTGCACGTGTGCCAGTTTCCATATGCTTGTCGAGGCCGACACGGGACGGCACTTCTCACCCGTGTCATCAAGTAGCGTGTCATCCACAGTCTCCGTCGTCACGCTACCGAACAGCATCAGCACAAGCAAAACATGCAACAGTCAATCCCATGTGGCCGATGTACATGCTTTTATTCTCTTTGATTCTCACCTTGTGACAGGTGCCGCAGCGTCTCCCTCTGCGCCCCTCAAGTCATTCCGCGAGGTGCCCGACCGACCCACCGCCAGGTCACTCGTCCCTCCATGCTGAGATGACTGCTCATTGCCCATTGCGAAGATCTCTGTCCTGGGCCCAAAAGAGCGAGGACCATCGCCGGAGAGGCGAGCTCAAAGAAGACAAAGAGACAACGAAAGAGCAGAAAAGTGAAGACAGAATGGACAGATAGACAGACAGCAAGACAGGTCTTCAGGTCTTCGCATTCGAAAGAGACTCATCTGTCTGCGGCCAGGCATGCAGATTCTCTACAAGGACATCTACGACACTTCTGGTGAGCAAAACACAGACACACAACCGGACGCACTCACCGCCTCCCTCCCCCCTGTGTGTGTGTGCCTTACCGCAGACAAAACCCGTGTGGTCGATGTCAACCCGACCGACACCATCGAGAAGGTCAAAGCCAAGATCCGCGACAACGAGGGCCTCCCTCGCCACCAAGTCAAGCTGCTGCTGCGGCCCGCCTACCGCTGGTTTGAACTCAAAGACGGCCGCACTCTGAAGGACTGCCGCATTGGCCACATGAGCACTTTGGAGGTGGCGGTTAAGTGGCTGAGTGAGCAACAGATGGAGGGCGACCTTCGGCTGCTGCGAGTTGAGTTGGAAGACGTGCAAAGCCAGCTGGCTATGGCGGCTTCCCAGCTGGGCCGGCAGGAAGAGCTGACGGCGGCCGTCATCGAGGCCATGGAGAAGCACCTTGATGAGGAGCGAGCCGAACATGCTAAAGCAGAGGAGGAGAGCAATAAGAGGCGCAGGGAGAAGGGCATCATGTCGACGTGTGTGGTGTGTTACGACGCTCCCCTTGAGGTGGTCCTGATGCCCTGCAGACACCTGTGCCTCTGCAACGGTACGCTGGGCAGGCGGGAGGGACAGGAGCCACACCACAGCATCACCATCATCGATGTCTGTGTGTGTGTGGCTGTGTGTTGCAGGTTGTTTCGAGGAGCTCAAGGAGCACGACGGCGGGAGGCTGCTGTGCCCCATCTGCCGCAACCAATGTGATGCAAAGCTCTCGGGGCCCGTCTACCAACATGCATTCGACCCACACACCTGACAGACATGTGTTGACGGGAGGGGGCAGAGGAGGGAGACCCACGTGCGTGTCTGTGCTCTGGATGTGTCATGATTCGGCTGCGTGTGCATGTCCGTGAGCCCACTGCGCCTCTCTGTGCTGTCCTGTGCTGTGCTGTGGTGCACAATAGTTGTAGACTAGGTCACGGCGATTTTCCACTGATGCGCTGCGGCCAGATATTATGGTGTTCTGTGTATGAGTGTCGAGGCGTTTGAGAGGGTTTTCTTTTTTGCTTTTTCAAGATATCTCATAGTGTGTGTCTGCTATGCTCACCAATCGGGACCATCGAAGCTGTCATCGATTAAATGCAGTGTCATTCAGCCATTAAGTCGCCGCACAGACACATACAGCAACACGAACATGTGAATTCGTCCCTCACAACTTTCGCGCATTGGCAGGCTGGCAGCAGATGAGCCCTCCATCACCCCATTCACGTCAGTGACGCCGACTAGATGAGTGCCACTGAGTGAACACATCATGAGAGTGACTCACACCGACTGATAGGTACCTGTCCATCTGCTGGCCTGCCTCCCAATTCTCCGTCCTTGCATCCACGCACGACAAGCAGGACCAGGTGAGGCAGCGACACCAATCTATTCATGCGCACATCAAAACCTGCCCGCCCGCCTGACTGTCTTCCCCTCATCCATCCATCCATCAACCAATCGACGTGCCTCGCCCGCCCATCTCACGTCAGCTGCAGCTGTCTGAAGGTCGCTCTGCCGTCCCGGCCCCTCTCGACGCACCCCAGCTGCTGCCACTGGAAGTGGCAGTCGTCATCGCCCAGGTGCTCGTTGAAGCCCTTGACCAGCCCCGCCACGCCATGCTGCGCCGCCTCGTCCAGCCGGGCCCTGTGCACCACCTCACGCACACCCAGCAGCCGGTGCTGCCCGCCCTGCTGCGCCGCATTGATGGCAAAGCACTGCAGCGGCACCCGCACCATCTCGCCGCCCACATCGGCCATCCCGCCCACCACCCCCCTGTTGCTGCTGGCCTCGTACACTGCCGAGCGGACGAAATGCTCGACAGCCGCACGCACACGCCGGGCCATAGCGGAGTGCGGCAAGCCGATGGCCTCAGTGATGGTCTGGGTGGCAGCCGCCATGTCGAAGAGGTACGATGCGAGGCGCCAGGCGAAGATGGGGGCCTCCTGCGGGCCGACGGCCAGCCGGGGGCCGAGCAAGGCCGCGAGTGACCGCTGAGGGGCGAGGGCGGCGTTGACGGCAGCCATGACGTCATCCGGCAGATTGTTGAGCACTGTCGCATACTCGGGCAGCACAAGCTGGCGACGGCGGCGGTCATGCTCTGTGGCTGTGGGCATGAGAGCGATGTCAGCGCCCGCCTGGAGGAGCACACGCATGGTGGTCTTGAGGTTGGGGATCCGGATGCTGGCCCGGTCCCTCACGGCCCGCCCCGTGTTGTCGTTCTGCAGCTGCTGGGCGACTAAATCGAGCCG